ATACAAAGTATAAAGTTTTTGCATTTGCAAACCCAAAAGCTGGGCAGTTAAACTTGTCATGTTATCACATGAAACAAATGGGAATTTTATGTTACATTGCTGTAATATAATTTTTCAATTTAAGTCCCTTCAATAATAGTAAATATCCACAACTATAAAGATTTACAAAGGTAGGTTTAATTGTATAACATGTCAGTTTTACAACTTTCTTTCCTATTTTCTCCATGCTAGCATTCTAATAGGAACTGTATACTCTCAAAAGCAACTGTTCTTATAAAACTTGAAATTATTCAAACATTTGATATTTGAATCATGTATTAATAAAGCAAACTTTATAAATGGTGAGTAGGCACTCTAGGTTTCAGTCTTATGACATTAGTAAAATTACAGTTGAAGAAAAAGTTGATATACTTTTCTCCAACTTGTTGCTTTTCTCTAGGCCAGTTGATGAATGAGAAAAAAAATTAACTAATGATTTTGATGTTACAAGTAGTTGGTCATGATGCTCAATTTATGAATAAACCCTTGTCTTTTAACATTTAAAAGTCAACTTAATTTTAACTTAATCTTGGAAGTTGTAAGAATTGGAGGGGGGGGGCTATTCGCAACCTTGATGTTCCTACTTGAAGTGTTCTTGCAAGTAAAAAATATGAACAGAAGTTTTTATAAGCACCAAAATAGGCAGTCTTAATCTCATATTCCCACTTAAGAATGTAGATGTACACATAGAAGTATCGATTCCTAACTGTATATAACTAATTCATGCAGTTAATGTAAAATGTCTTTTAAAAAGGTGTGAATGCACATGCAGTAAAGCAGAGAAATATAGCTTCATGTGATGTTTAAAAATGCACATTCACCCTTCCCAGTTGTCAGCATCTCAATTTCTGCATGCATACAAAATGCATCATACTGAACAGTCCTCGTGTCTCTGTTTTGTTTTATTTTTAAACTGTGATACAAACTATGGTCTTTACATTATTTGTGGATTTTCAGAATTTTTTCTATTTAGATGGTTAGTTTTTTAATATAATCACTGTGAAAATGCTCAGATGTTCAATCAGTTCTTTTTAACCAAGTATATTATTCATTCTTTTATTGTTAACCACCTGTTGATTACAGTTCTGTATGATAATGAAACAAATGTAATTGATTAAGTAAACATGCTTATGTTGTTGATTTCTGTCTATAAGAATGATGAATTTCTTTCATTAGAAAACTGATTTAATGAATGGGTTAGTGGAAGAACTGATAACAAAAACAAAGGAATTCCTCCAGCCTAATCCAGGTATGTGTGAAATGTATTTCAGTATCATTTGTAATAAAGATTAAACTGTCACAATGCATTTTCTCGACTCCAAAAAAACAACAACTATATTTGACTATGAATGTAGACAAAGAATAGTTGGTCATGTAGTATTTTTAGGTCAAACTGATTTCCCTTAGACAGACAAGATAGGTTTCTGAGTAACTGAACTCATGAGAAGAAAACACAGATTCAAAACGGTTATAAAAAAAAAAATACAATGTGCAGACTTTATTCAATATGCAAAAATAAATATGTGTATGTGTGTAGTTGCTTATACGTAATATTTTGTTACTTCTACTGGATCGTAAGCAATTTTCTTTGGTGCTATGGTTGAGATCCTATTCCAGACTCACTAATTTATGTGACTGGTCAGTCCCATTCAAACTTAAATGAGTTTGTAACCTCAAGACTTCACCTGACCTACCATTGGAGGACACTGCTATTGGCATCAATCCACAAAGTGCAGCTTTAAAGGTAAACCCCTCCTATGAGCAGGCCAGCAGTTGTCTAAAGGGAGCAACAAATAACAAAGGTAGCTAGAACAAAAACAACTTAATCACTTTATTGCCCATGTGCTTATGTTAAAATTGCACATACCAGAGCAACAGACTAATTTTGAAAAGGTCTGAATTAAAATAAAAAGGTAGAACACACAAGGTATGCTTAATTACCCTAGGTTCATCATCATAGACAGCAGTACATCGATAATTCTACCGATGCTTAGCTGCCACACAATCATGAA